TGCGCCATCGTCGTTAATCATCATTAATAATGGAACCATAAATATATCGCGTCCTCCGATCGCCCCGAATTTATACGCGCTGAAGCTGTCAGTGTATCCAGCCGCTGGCTGCAATACCAGATGTTTTCAAAATTCAATTCTCGAAGAGTATTATGGTTTAACCGAACCACATACCAGCTTTTGGAGAATTTTGTGCTTTTGATGTAACAGCATGTATAGTTTTTGTATAATATGGTAATGCACGGGGTGCAGAATCACAAATAAATAACGCACCAAGCGGTAGGGCGATTAATTAACTGCACTCTTTTGTTTGATCGATGATGCGATTGGCGTTTAATGCGTTGGTGACGAATATCAATTACCAATTGTACTTTTCGGTATTTGTCAATATTGTTTCATATCTATTTGACTGGCTCATTCAATTATTCATTTTCAACAACATATTTATCAAGAGTTTTGGCATATAATTGACTTTTCATTGTTTAATAATGGTTTTATTTAAAAAGGGACAAAATATTTTAATTCAATTTGTTATTTATTGTTGCTATTTGCATTTTCAATTTTTTTCCAATTTGAAAAAAAAATATTTCATTTGCTTCATTTGTTCTAAATTTATCTCAAAACAAAAGTCCTGATTGGCCTCCACGTTTAGAGGATGAAAGTCAATAAGTAAAATCCCCTATTTGGGCGTTTGCCTTCATTAGACGTGTCGCAAATTCGATTCAATTCGTCACGCACCAAGCCGTGAGGTTTCAGGTTTGCTTCGATTCGAACATTCCGAGTGGTCGAGAACCGTTGATTCCGCTAACGAAATGTGCAAACAGCCGAAACACGACACCCCGAACGAGGAATGCTCCTGATTAGATTGTCACGCTCTGAATTCATAATAATCCAATGATTTTTCATACACAAATTTAATTCCATATTTAAATTATGTAATTTAATCGCCAAAATGTATGCTTTGCGAAACAGCGAAGTGGTAACACGTCATGATGATGAATTAATTCAGATGTACTTGTTTGGCCACGAAAGCCGCAAAACGTCAGCGTTAATCTCACACTCAGTGAATCCTGAATTCGGAATTCTGACTTTCAGCATGGCGCACGAGTGCATTTTGGATGCACACTGACTGTCCAACGACAAGCTCTTCATTCCGGAGATGAGTTGATCGTCCTTCTTGTGACGCCGTGCTCACAGGAGCGTAAACAGATACAAATTGGGGGGATGCACACACATCATTCCACCGAACCGACCACCGGTGTGCCATATCTTTCATCCTGCTGACGTTTACATTTTCATATCTTCATACTGCACAATTTCGCATATCTTCTCTTCTTATGGACGTTCCGAGCGTTCTGGCGTGAGATATGATTAGCCGACTAATATTCATTTGCAGCCAGAATATTGTTTCATATTCTGTTGTGGCTTTTTCTGCGGTTGTATGTTACGTTGTCGACTTCTTGAATTTATGTTTGGGGCGGAAATGAAGCAAAAAAATATAAAAACATTTCGAGACCATTACGCGTCGCTCATGTTGCCGTCTGGCATTTTGCGTTTTACGCGCACCTCATTTGAGCTTTTAGCATATTTTTCCAGTCGGCGGAAGCTCTCTTCTTTCATTTTTGAGCTTTCGCTTCCACCCTAGTTGTCCCTGTCTGCGCGTGGCACGTCTATCCCTTTGCATGGGCGACAGTCAGGTTAACTTGGTATTACTTTGGGTTTCATTTTTTTCTCGTGCGCTAATGTTAACTCTTAACGCATTGTTGCGTTTGTTAACGCTTGGATATTAAGGATATAGAGCTAACGCGCTTTTGTGGCCAGGGTACGAAAATGCCGACTCAGCCTACGACTGAAAAGGCATCATAATCATAATACAAGTCATCATAACGTCACCAAAACTTTCAGTCAAACTTCTTCTTTATACTTTCTTAGCACATCTTATATACCACAATTATTTTTCTTTGAAAGTAGGTCTTTAGTGCTTTTTTTTAAGGAAGGAAATTAAAAGTAAAACAATCAGCGCGAGGCTTTATTGAAAGATCGCGTGCTGGTTGAGATCCGGCCGAAATTTGTGTTCCGTGCCGCGTGCGAAGGGTAATAGCTCAGGGGGCGGTGCTGCGTCCATTTGTTGCGATTGGGGGCTACTACTTTACTTTGGCTTTACTTCTCTGCCGCACATGACATGCGAGTTTATAATCATGTGCTTACCACGTAGCTGTATATTTACAAATCGTTTTTACATTGCCCGCAGAGCTTTCAACCCCTGAAAAATCATGATATATTACAAAAGATACGCTTACATGTAGAAAAAGTTTAATATATGTAAATATTTGGAATAAATTAATTTGGGTAAAACCAAGTTATAATTTATTCGGTTAGTTTAACTAAGTACTACATATGAATTGATTAGACGATAATTATTTACATGAAATCGTAATATATTAATGTTATTTTTTGGCGTGTACAAAATTCAGTATTACTGCTAGTATATTACATGTGTACTATTGTTACATCAAAGTAATATTCCGATTCCTGTTTATACTTTGAGTATGAGTTTGGTTATTGGGTATTGCAATTAAATCCAATTCCATTGAGTGAAAATTTGAAGCGTATTGGGTGAACTTTATGAAATTACCGCGCGCGCATAGCAAATGCATTAAAATGTGCATTCACAACTTTACAATGGCGCCACGCGTCAAGGGGTTGAAACCGTTACTCGATTGAATTGAATGCGTTACACTCGCGACTACGAGCTTTGCCATCCTGTGTGAACAAACAAACAGAATTTCGGCAACTATTTCAATCCTCGTGCGAATTTTGCCAGTTACTGATGAAACGACCCGAAAAAACTATCCGATCACATCGAATAAATTAGTTTAATTTAATTTTACACTGGCATTCACTTTATTTTCGTGATGTAAAACATTTTAAATTTAATTTATATATTGATTTGTAATGGATTTGATACTGATACGGCAACTATTAATTCGGATTAAAAGTAATATTTGCATTATTAAAATTTCGGCTCAATTCATCAATTTCAGTAATAATGCATTGCGCCGAATAATAATATGCAAGTTATTTTCTCGTCCTCGTCGTAGCCCACATTTGCGACGTCGCGGTGCATTCGCGTTTGTTTCTGGGCGGCGGCGGCGTGCACGAACCGCGCGACCGCCACCAACGTGCACACGCGCGCACCGCCGTCGTCGTTATCCTTTCGACGTTTTGGCCGCGCACCGACGTTCAGTCGTTCGCCACCTTTCACGCCGCCACCAACACACGTCACGTGCCCTTTTTGCAACTCGCTCGCAACTCTCGCACGAAGCGCAACATTAAACCGTTTTAAAATTGAATGCATATCTCTAATCTTCGGTGTTAAGTGTGATTACAAATCGTATTTTTAAGCAAAGTGTTAGAATATATTCTGTGTAATATACTTAAATGTTGAAATTGAATTGTTGAAGATAATTAACTATGAAATAATTGTTAAGCGATTTAACATTTCATCAAATTAGCATAGCGAAGAAGATTGCGAAAGGATAATCGTGCACTTGTTAACAAATTTCGTGTGCGTAAAGATGTGAAACTTTGCCTGAACATTTCCAGCGAGATTAAAACGATTTTCCACTGCGGACACCAACGCAGTGCACAAAAATAAACACAACACTAATTATTATGGATTAAAACGGGACAAAGCTCGGATTAACACGCGAAAATCCCGTATTTTCCTTTACGAAGTAAGCAAATTAACATAATTTTACTGTCATTACTTTAATTATAATAATAAAAATAATATTTTTGTTCGTTATTATTTATAAAGTGTATAATCTTGTATTTATTATGAGCATATGATTATCATGTGGAAATGGAGTTGTTGAAAAAACAAATAGCAATTTAAAAAGCAAACATTTGCTGGACTGTTTGCGAACAAGGATAATGCATTGTTTCGATGTTGCGCATGTTGATATTGTTGCGATGTCGGAAAGGATATTGCAATGTGTGGATGTAAAACAATTGGGAAAACCGACGGGATCAGGGCTAGCGCGTCCGTCCTCAACAAACATCACACAAGAACAACAATTTCACAAATACTCGTTGTGCGAAATCATCAATACTTAACACATTTACACCCTCGGTAAAGTGGAGTAAAGTATTGCATGAAAAGTGGTTGAGAGGACCGCGGAAAATTACGCGCTGAATATCGAAACGCTTGAATTCTCTGCGGACGCCGGATACGACCACAATAGGAAAACAATGCGTTTTGTTTTGCGTTGACAATTGCTGAATAAATGTCGAATGTATCAATGCAATATTTACTTTAAAAACCGCGTTGTTGCGTGAACACACTTTTACGCATTTTGTCATTTATGTTTGATCGCATTCGATTCTGTCCGATTGCATGCCAAATATCGAATCAGTATTGCCACAAACTGTAGCATCGAGATGAAAACGCATAAATTATTTTTTTTCGCCACGATGACGGACGACGAATTGTGTGCGCTCTCCGATTGGAATAATTTTTTGTGTCCAGCAGACTAACGGCGAAAAAAACTTGTGCAAAATGCAAAAATTTCGACGAATATTTTTTGTTATTTGTACACATGCCTTGTTTTCGAAATGGAAATATTGTGTTCGGTTTGCGATATTCTAATATGTAAATTTACTTGTTTCAAAATTGTACTACAATTCGTGACGTGATTGTCAAAACGCGAAAATATATTGTGGATACGCCGGGAGTGCAATTTCAATCATTAATAATTTACATTATTTTGTGCGAAACAGAAACGATGGCTTTGATATGAATTAAAATGGCAATATAAATTTTAATTTATTCTTTTTGTGTAGGGTTGATATTCAATCTGGACAGGATTCACGATTGAACTTATTGGATTTTGATTAGTTTGTCGTGCGGCGTAGTGCATGCATAAAAGGTGTGATATTTATTTTTCAATATTTGCATTTTATGAATTAATTTAACATATTTACATTTTTTGTTTCAGAATAGTGAAAGTGACATTTTCGTCGAGATGACTTACAAGTTTGTGTAGTGAAAATTCAGACACTTCATCATCGGTGCCAACAAACGTAAGTTTATTTTATTATTGATATAACTCGTCAATAGACACATTGTTTTTAATTTTATTTATTCATAAAATTTATCTGCGTTTTCTGCATTTTTAACTGAAAATTAACGAACGACGACGAAGTAGAAAATTCAAGGCGTCGAATTTCCAACCGCAAGATATATTCCCGTCGAGTACGTTTTCGCCGACGTTTCGCCGCGGGGCGAAATTAATCCCACTTTACTTTTATTTGTCGGCGCAATATAATTCTACAGGATGAACACCTCGCACCAAGCGAAACGATACATTCTCATCTCAGAATTTCTTACAGCAAGTTCAAAAAGAAAAAAAAACTTTTATGTCGAGAGAAACACTCTGTGTATTAAATATTATGCCACGACTGTGATTGCTCTCCGTTCCAAGGGTCGTGAGGTTTTTAGTTTTCAAGCACATCGCTTCAGGTGGACTATAAATTCTGCTTAAACTTTCGGATTGAATTTCGCACACGACATTTCTACAAGTTGTTTATTTCAATGAAAATATTTAATACGATCGCGACATAGTGGAGGCGCCGGGTTATTTAATTAATTGTGATTCGTCATGCGTAAAATTCTATTTTGTTGGCTTCAAGATCCCTTTCTTTTTGAATTAATTAGGAGATCTTCGAGTGGGTGTAAAGCACCGCACTCACCCATTCGCTCTCACATTGTCATCTTGGGATTCCCTTAATTCGACGCCGTTTGAACTCTGCCCTTCATCTTCCGCCACTCGGCTTGTCTCGGCGCGCTTTCCGTTCTTTGCGCGGGCGAATCGTTAATTAAATTAAGACGGATTGCGCTGCGTTCGTCGAGGCGTTGAATTATAGATTCGCTTGCTGCCGATCCGACCCTATGCGCTAACCTTTTATCGCATCATCCTAGGCTAGCCTAGAAGGATTTTAAGCTTTTGGATTCATGTTCAAGTCGAACTTTTCGCTGTCGATGTAAATCTGCGGACGGCGCAAATGAAGTCGGCGTACAGCCTGCGGGCATTGACGCAGAGCAGATAACTTCGCATAATCAGGTTAAGAATGAGGACGAGCGCGTCCTGTATGAATATAAAGGATAATGAAAAGGCCAAGAGGTCGGGCGGTCGGATGGTGCTCGCGCACAAGACCGCAAGATTTGACAAATGTCTTCTCGATCCCCGAGATTAATTTAATTTCGTGTTAAAGCGCGTCAGAACTGAGCTCCAACGCCCGAAAGCCGCCTGTCGGGATGTCACAACGACCCTTATTATTTCATCACAGTATTTTATACATCACAGAATTTTGGAAATTTTAACGTCAACATAAATATTTCACATTTTGTGTGTGTGTGGTATAGTGTGGAGGCGCCGGGCACAAGGCAAGTTGTGTGGTCGTGCACTCGACAACTATAATTAATCTTTGATGTAGAGTGTTCCCTCAAGAAAATTGTATATAAAAGGATCCAGTTAAATCATGCAATGAAGGAGTTGTATTATTTATTAAATATAATGCTCTGTGTATCGATTAAAACCGCCTGCTGTTTGAAAATCGAATAGTGGCTTGGAACGTTCCTTTCTTTTTTGCTTCAAAAGCATTTTGCTATAAATAATGCATTCTAATATCTGCGAGTGGCAGCTTTAGAGCCTTTTACATGGGAAAACATTTACGTAATATCAAAGCACTGTTAATGCTGCGATATTAATGTATATTGAAATAGAGTTATGGTTTCAATCACACAATACAATTGAATAAATATCAGTTTTGTAACTAGTACAATTTTATTCGCTTACTTTTATTGTTTCAATTAATATTGCAATCATATTTGCTAATAACTGGATAAAAAATAAATTTTATTTTATTATAGAATTTTGTAATTTTGGTTTGTTTAGGATTTTCCCTGGATTAACTGGCAGGATATTGCCTAACAATAAGCATACATTATACACAATTTTAAAGCTAGAGTGAACAGGTTTATCTCGAATTGTTCACACTTTACGTGCACTTTGCACCTACCTTCCAACCGAACTTGTTGTGCAACTTGCATGAGCTCGAGTCCATGACCACACTAAACATCGCACAGCGCTCTGCATATTTTAGTCGCTGCCACTGGACCGCTTCAAATCCGACCGGTTATATGTGCGCTTTTGTTTGAAGCAACTTAAACTCCAACTGGAGCTGAAAGTTGAAATTAACACCATGCAACAACTTTGCGGAAATTATGCAAACTTTGAAAGTCATTTTGTTGAAATATATTTCAGTTTGAATAAGAAATTTTCTATTCTAGCGGAAGTCAATTTATGCTTGCATGGTGAAAAATATTCTCTGACAAAATGTATGAGTTTCTCTATGCTTGCAACGGAACGGAATATTACAGAATTGCTGATAACATGATATTTTGCTATTAATCTAATGAACTTCCATTGAACCCAACGCAAGTCTATTCAGTAATTCAGATGCGCGCCAAGTTTTCTTCGTTCATGCCGCGAAGAAAACGGAGATCCGCTGCTGCTGCCACCATGAAAAGATGCGCGGCGTTGCTTTGATTCATTGCGTCTTTAATCATGTTTACGATAACGGATAAAGGCGGCGATAAACGGAACGGCTTGCAGCGCAACCACCGCGCCGCGACGCAAATATTTCATTTATATTTTGTAGCCTTTTATCTGGCACATCCTTCTTTCGTCTTTTATTTTTCTTTGGTTACTGTATGCGCTATATATGTGCTATATATCGATTGGGTCTCTAATTCATTAATTTATTAGTTCATCAGTTGCCAACTCGTTAGACAATGACTGGCTGTTCTCTACGTGCGAAAACATACAGAATATCAAAAAAGCAGGGGGTTTAACATCTCGTTTTGGCAAATCGGACTTTTTTGCCGTTTTTGGCGCAGATGCGCTGAGTGAGAAAGTGAGCGAATTCAGTCCGAAAGCCTGCGCTTTTTCTGCCGCCTTGCCGCCGGCACCAAACCATAAAACAATAAATTAAACGAACCCGAATGAAAAATGTTCATTTGCTAAATGGATTATTTTCATTACGGACGATTTATTAACTTATTATAAAGTTTTCTCGTACGGAAGCGTTCTCGACAATAACACAAATGAGAATTTAGCGTTCGAGAGAAAAGTTACAGCTGTCTGCAGGTCGGGAAAGGTTTTACGATAATTTGTTCCATAAACTTTTTAAACAACTTAAATAAAATTGTATCCAATTGTGACACCTTGTTATTTATGACTTCATTTGATGTTTTATGCTTGTTAAATTAATTTGAATTATTTTCCGTGTTTTTAATTTTTATTGTTGCATTATATAAAGTATTATACTTTGTAAAGTTGCACATGCTCCATTTTTATGAACAAAGAATGTTTATTGTGACAGTTTCGGCAAACTAATAACAGCCCTTGTGGAAAGTACAAGCAAACTTTTCGAACTTTCAGCGTTTTCCGCGGGTTTCGCGGGAGTTAGCGCCGAGTTTGAAAAAGTGTTCAATTGCACGAAATTCTGCAACGCGCTCGCAAAGCGATCGCTGAAAGTTTCAGTGCATTTGGAAATATCATAATTTCTTTGTTTTCCTTTTTTCTTAAACACACAAACTTGCTTAAACAACAAATAAAACTCATACTCCTATTTATCTATTAATTTACGCACTGTGTTTTTATATTTCATTTGATAAAATGAAAATTTTCTGCTCATGTTTCGTAAAATTGAAATTGTGAAAATGTTTTGAGATAACCGGGAAACTAAACCCGAAGTATTCCTTTGATGTTCGCAAAATAAGGGGAGTTAATAAGAAATATCTTCTAAACTTTGTCATCGCTTACAAAGCAGATGTCGATAAGATAATAAGTTACTCGAGAGTTTTATAAGCGTCAAATTGATTTATTTGAAAATTGACATCATATTTCAAGAATATACACTTTGTTAATTAAGTGCAAATATTTAGTACTTGTTTACAAGTTGAATTTTTTGTTTTGCTTTGAAACTGAAGATGCAATTCTGGAGAACGCGGCGTTATTTATTTATTTATCAAAGTTAGCCAAGTATGGGCAAGGAAACTTGTCGTCGTGTTAACTTCAGCCCTTAACTTTGCTCTTTACCACTTACTTCACTCACTTTGTTTGCGACGCCTTGCGCTGCCGGTATTTCAATTCCGATAATCCTATGTACTCTACCTCTAGCGTCGTGTCGAAGAACAGAAATTTTTATTTTTGTTTGAACGTGTGTACCAGGCGCACCACGCCTTGTGCAAACAAGTTTCTAGTAGAAGCATCTTTACACTATCACCCTCACTCAGTACCATTCTATTTTATTGCTTTTTTTTTATTTTTGAAAAGTGTTTGTTAGTTTATTTGCTGCTTATCGTCATATGCGAGTCGCGATCGCGCGCACGGGCGTTAAATCTAATTTTCCGCTTGTGTTCGCTCGAGCGCCGGGCGGAAAAATTGGCGACGTGGCTTGGACGTAGTCCTGCAAGGTTTCTTTGCACGCCTGCGCAAAGTTTCGTTTACTCTACAGTCTGCGTCTTATTGCATTACTTTTCTTGCTGGGGTATGAAATGTAATGAACATGAAAAAGAATCAAAAACAAACACTACTTACAATCAACAAGGAAAATAACATTTATGAAAGGTTTCTAAAAGACGCCTAGCGAAACATACCAGAAGTATGTTTATTTTAGAAAACTTTAAAGTTTAACCTAGCATAAAATCAAGTCAAAGATATTTTGTTTAATTCAACTTAATTTCTTACTGTTTTCCTTTGCGACTTGGCTTGTTGCTCATGTTCATCTGCGGGTGGCAGAAGAGTATTTTGTTATTGGCAGTTTGCGCCGTTTGCTTCGCGAGCGTTAGTTAGACGGCAGGTTAACGAGCCTCGGCGGAAATGACATTACCACACCGCCGCCCAACCCTTTCGGCGTCGGCGGCTTCCAGCTGCCGCGTTTCCACGCAACCATGCCGCTCGCTTTTCCGGTTAGCATGTCGGGCGCACTTCTTGTTTCGGCCCTGTTAAGATTAA